GGTGCGGGCTCCTGCGGGGCTCGGCGCCGACCGCAGAGTGCCATGGCCCTGCACGGTGGCTTTTGGGGGCGAAGTGGGCGGCCGCTTTCTCCCAGAGCCCATCCTCCCTGGGCCGCCGGCTTCCTCCTAGCTCCACGGCGACCGAGGACAACGAAGAAGGCCCCGACGCGGAGGAGCGCTTTCTGTTCCCGGAGTACGTCCCGACAGAGCCGGACCCTGAGGAGCAGCTGAGAGAGCTGCGGGAATTGCAGCAGCGGCAGCAGGATGAGGAGCGACAGAGGTTGCAGCGGCGGGAGGAGCGGCTTCAGCGGAAGCTGCGAGCAGGCCTCGGGTCTCTGCAGGTCCCCGAGCTTCCTCCAGACGCCGCGGTACCGCCCAGCGGCGTCTACTGCTCGGGCTGCGGGGCCGAGCTGCACTGCCAGCACCCCAGCCTGCCCGGCTACCTGCCGGAGGAGAAGTTCCGCGGTGCGACCCAGGCGGATGGCGGCCCGGCGCGGACCGTGTGCCAGCGCTGCTGGCTGCTGGTGCATCACCGACGTGCCCTGCGCCTGCGGGTGAGTCGCGAGCAGTACCTGGAGCTTGTGAGCGCCGCATTGCGACGCCCGGGGCCCGCCCTGGTGCTCTATATGGTGGACCTGCTCGACCTGCCGGACACCTTACTACCCGACCTGCCCAAGCTGGTGGGTCCCAAGCAGGTCTTCGTGCTGGGGAACAAAGTGGACCTGCTGCCCCAGGACGCGCCCGGCCACTTGCAGCGGCTGCGGAAGCGGCTGTGGGACGACTGCATCCGCGCCGGGCTCGTGGTGGCTCCTGGCCATCGAGGACCACAGAACCCTGCCGGAGATGAGCCTCAGGACGAGGAAAAGAATCGGAATCGGTCGACCAGGGCCGGCACCGTGGTCAAGGACGTGCGGCTGATCAGCGCCAAGACTGGCTATGGCGTGGAAGAACTGATCTCTGCACTTCAGCGCTCCTGGCGCTACCGCGGCGACGTCTACCTTGTGGGCACCACGAACGCCGGCAAGTCCACTCTCTTTAACACACTCCTGGAGTCTGACTACTGCACCGCCAAGGGCTCCGAAGCCATCGACAGGGCCACCATCTCCCCCTGGCCAGGTGAGGCCCCACTGTTGAGAACTTAAGACTTCTCCCAGGCACCTAGTAGTACATCTGCCCTTAAATGTTCATCTTGAGCTGCCTGGAGCCGTTTTTTTAAAAATTTTCTCCCCACTTTGCTCATACCTCTTGTGACAGTTGAGCGCTTGGAAATTCAATCCATGTGATTTTCTAATAGAAATGTTTCTAGAGGGGCTGGGGATGAAGCTTGGTTACTAAAGTGCTTGGCTAGCATTGCCAAAGCCTGAGTTAGTAGGCGGTACCGCATAAGCGAGGGATAGTGGCAAACTCCAGCCTCCTAAGCACTTGGGAGGTGGAGACAGGAGGATCGGGAGGAGAACAAAGTCATTCTCGCCTACGTAGCTGGAGGCTACTGTGAATTAGATACTCTATTAATTCTACTCTAAGACCCTTCTTCGCCCCTTGAATTTATTTATTCTTGGACCGTTATACTAGACATGAAAGAGTTGATGTGGTAAGTGTGGGGATTTCTCCGTAAGAAATGTCAGTGTTCGGAGTTAAAGAAACTGATAGCCTGGCATGGTGGTTCTGTCCGTCATACCAACCCTGGGGAGACAGAGCCTGAGGATGCGGGGTTCGAGAGCCTCTCTGAAGGAAGAAGCTAAGGGGAAACATATGTACTTGGGGAGTTCCAATCTTAGGAATTAGCTTGACAGAAACGTGTTCCCTTGAAACCAGAGTTTACTCCGGCTAACTGCCCTTTGGCACTTCAAACTTCAAACTGCCTGTGACCACACCACCCTGATGTACTGGAGGATAAATGGTGAAAAGCAGGGATAATATAGACTTGGGAAATTTGTACTCAAATTCTGAGTTCGCCCATGAACCAGTCACTAGGCTAATTCCTTGTTTGTAAAGTGGAAATAATTACATAGTGGTTGTCATGAAGGTTAAATGAAAAAAATCAGAGGTGTTTGCTTTTCTTCTTTCATGCTCCTGTTTTTGAAACCTTACCCTTGGTATTTCAGGTACTACATTAAACCTCCTGAAGTTTCCTATTTGCAACCCTACTCCTTACAGAATGTTCAGAAGACAAAGAAGGCTTAAAGAAGAGGCGACCAAAGCTGAAGAAGATCTCAGTGAGGAAGAGCAAAGTGAGCTCAATCAACTGAAAAAGCATGGTTACATGATAGGTATGCGTTATAACACAGATTCCAATTGTTCTTCATGATAAAACCCAGAGGCAGCTATGGGGTGAAGGCTGAAGGATCAGAGAAGCAGAGCAGCCAACTGCTAGAGTTCTTACCTCTACCAGTGCTTTTACAGAGGGCGATCCTGAACTCCACTGCCTCCTCAGACTGCACTGAGCTCCATCTCCTCTCCACCTCCCTAATGCTGGGCTTAAAGGTGTGCGATCCCAAGTGCCAGGATCACCTTTGTGTGAGCTGTTTCTATTTTAGCCTGGATCAGTTTTGTGTAGCCCAGGGTGGCCTTGAACTAACAGAGACCCATCTGCCTCTGTCTCCCAAGTGCTGGGATCAAAGGTGTCTGCCACCACTGCCTGGCCTCTATGGCTAGCTAGTGTGGCTAGCTCTGCACTCTGATCTTCATGCAAGCGTTATTTGTTAGATCATAAACAATGTCACCACACTGCATCCTTCCTCTTTAGGAAAAATCTTACTGGTTCCATGATAAAGTTGTTGGGGCTGGCCATTTTTTTTTGCAGAAAAAGACTTTCCGGTTCTGGAATATAGGCTTTTTGTAGGAAAGGTTACTATTGCTTGGAAACCCAAACTAGCAGAGGCAATGAAGGTCCTTAGCTAGGTTGTCCATCTCTTTGATCTCCTGATTTCATTAATGAAAAAGAAGGGATTTCTAACACATAGCCTGAAACATAGCTGACGTGCAAGGGAATAACTCACATTATCTGTGAAAAAGAAGACACAGTATAATCATAGTCACAGTTTCATATTTAAACACGTAGTTTTAGTGACTTTTATAAGGCAAGCATAAGAAGTGTCTTCAGGGCCTGGCCTAGTGATGCATGCCTTTAGTTCCACACTTAGGAGACAGAGGCAAGTGGATCTCTATGAATTCAAGGCCATTCTGGTCTACATAGAGAGTTCCAGGACAACCAAAGCTACATATTGAGACCCTGTCTCTGAGGTAGAGAGGTCTTCAGGGGCATCAGGTACACACCTGTAATCCCAACACTTAGGAGAAAAAAAAACCTCCTCAGTTCATGATGGTTTTGCAGCAAGCCTGCTCTACATGAGATCTTTTCTAAATACAACAGCCAAGATAAATACATATATGTATATATACATATGTGTGTGCACATGCATGCACGTGATATGTTGCCTATCACTATAGAAGCTGAAGAGAGAAAAATCACAAGTTTAACACCATGTACAGAGAACCCATCTCAAAAATATTTTCAGAATCAAAGCATTAAAGGAATGTCTGATAACATTGGTTTAATTTGTTCTAGGAAGAGTTGGAAAAACATTCTCGTACTCCACGGAACAGAAGGAAGAAGTTCCCTTTGAGTTTGATGCCGACTCGTTGGCCTTTGACATGGGAAATGAGCCTGTTGTGACTGTGCGCCCATGTACCAAACAAGTAAAACTGACCCCAGAAGATGTGAAAGACGCCCACTGGTTTTATGATACCCCTGGGATTACAAAAGAAAACTGTGTATGTATTTAGTTGCTTTTAGAAATATTTACTTTTAATTGTAGATGTACTGTCTTAACTGGCCAAAAACAAGAAAAGAGGTGGGCTTCCATTTTAAAACTCGATTGTGGTTTCTTTATAAAAGCAATCCAAGGGTGAATCCACATGCCATCAGATTCTGTATTCCTTTAGTTTACATTTCTGTAGGCAAACAACAATGTTAGCATTGTGGTTATTACCTTAGGAAGACGCGTTATAGGTTCCTATATTTTAAGGTTAGAAATTATAAATAGTACAGTAAAGCTTCCGAATTTATGCTTGAATTCCCTTGAAAATATGCCATTCATAATGTCATATAGTTTGAGCGAAGTGGGTTATGACACCTTATCAGAGCAATGACATGCGCACTCCCAGGGTATTCAGCTATTCTCACCTGTTCCTTATATGGTACTGAAAGTCTCCCAGTTACTTGTACCCATTTTTCTTCAAAACTGTGTAGAGCAAACATGATAGGCATTTCCTTTGACACGTCTTGAAATACTCGAGGTGGTAAGTGGTCAAGTGACCGTATTTTTAGAACAGGGTTAATGCTACCTATCCTGCCATTATCCATCCTTTTACTCAAATTACAGTGTCTGACGGTCACTTGGCTGTTGTCTGATTAAATTTAGCCTATATCTGGCTAAGCACAGTGGTGCACACATTTTGCTTAGAATGATTTATTCCACTTGCATCCATTTTTTGCAAAAAACAT